AAAAAAAAAAAAAGAGCAAATACACACACACACATATATATGTATGTATAAAGCCCATCTTTATCAAAAAGTGTATGAATCTATATACACATATGTATATATTATATTTTATCAAAAAGATACAAAGATGTCCATTTATGTGTTTTTTTCACCAGAATCAGAGTCAGCGGACACTATTTTTCATCTTTTACATAGCATGAGCAGTGCTACCACCAAGCAGAAACCTACAGTAGCTCCCTTTACAAAGTCAAAGCAAATCATACATTGGAGAATTATCAAAAAGTGCAAGGTTGAAATCTAAGTCAAGAGGGCTTAAGCCAGTGGTAGTTCCCAACTGAAAATCACTTTTTGGGCTTACAAAAATTCACATATGTGGGCCCCATTATAGACTGACTGAATTAGAATGTCTGAGGGTCGAATAGTGGCCTTTACATGCTTAACCATTTCTATAGATGATTCTAGCTACCTCCCTGGTTCAGGAGGAGGTGCTGCTGATAACCATTTGGGTTACCAACACGAGCTATACTTTTCCTATTTCCAAGGTAGTATTAATTTGTTTATTTCTCTGTAGAACAAAGTTGTCAACAAAGGGCTGACATGGTTCACACACTGCTAGACACCTCTTGCTAATACTTCGTTATCATGGTTTCCAGGACCTGTCCTTTAATTTATGCTCTGAAGAGCCAAGGGAGGCTCTTCAAGTTCAGCAGACACAGACTAAAGTGCTCACACCTGTGCACACACACACCTATCAGCGGTAGCTCTTCAGCCATCATTTTTTTCCTACCACTCCCTCATTCTTAAACCCTTTGGTCTCTTTATTCTATGTTCACCTTCAAAGGGTATGATTAGCTGATCCAAGTGCCTCCTCATCTAGCTGATGAGCCTGAAGTTAAGTGGGACTTATACAAGGTAACTCAGCTAAATAATCTTAGTGCCAGGACTTGAACTAGCATTTGGCTTCAATTCATACCTTTGGAGGTATGCTCTATTTCTGTAACCCCTCCACGCAGGGCTGGTTTCGTGGCCTTGAGACCACTGTGGCTGCACAGAGCTCTGCTCTTACAAGGGCCATGCACTTGATTTACTGCTCTGCTGTTGCTGTCTTGAAATTCTTAATTTTTAACAAAGGGCCTTGCATTTTTATTTTGCAGTGGGGCCTGCAAATTACATAGCTGGTCCTGCCTACAAGTTAAGGGGGCCGCTCATGGCCCTTGAAGCAGAGGGAGCTTGGAGAAAGTGCAGAGCTGCAGTTCAGTTTCAGAGTCTCAGCTTGAGTTCTGACCACCAGGGCCCCACCCATCCCTAAGGAGCTCTCAGCTTCTCTGAACCCTCAACTCCTACCTGGACAGAGTTAGTGAAAAAACTTGCTCTCTGAGTATGTGCTAACTGAGATATCATTTCCATTATCCCTGACCCTTGCTGGAAGATGAGGTAATGACATTTCTGTTTAACTTAGTATTTGCGAGGCACCTGGGTGGCTCAGTCGTTAAGCGTCTGCCTTCGGCTCAGGTCATGATCCCAGGGTCCTGGGATCGAGTCCCTCTCCCACTCTCCCTGCTTGTGTTCCCTGTCTCACTGTGTCTCTGTCAAATAAATAAATAAAATCTTATAAAAAAATGTAACTTAGTATTTGCTAATAGAAATGGTGACCAATTGGAGAACATTAAAAAATTCTGTCCTCTTCATACCAGATCATTTTCTAGAAATCAATACCTGCAAACCCCTATATTAACATATCAGTTATCATCCATTTGTACTTTGCAAACAACCCGCATTTTGAAAAACTCTTTCAAACAAATCTTGAGCAAACTCTTCCTGTTTCTCTTGAGTTCATAATGACAGTATTATTTTCATTTGTTAGTTATGTTTAGTTATCTTATCTGGCATGACCAGATGATCCAGCATTGTTTTTCAAGTCTTGCTTTTAATTTAACAAGGTAATACATTAATTGGAAGCAAATGTTTATGTTTTGTTTTAAGAAGTCCCCTTTAGTGATCAGGAAAGACACTATGTTCAAATGAAGGTACGGCTAGTGCATTTTGTTTTCATGAAATCATTTCAGAGCTGAAAAGTACCTTACAAATCACCACATTCAATGTCCTTATTTTCTCTGTATATTCCCATAGAACAGAGATTGTGATTTGCTCAATGAACCATGTCAACTTCATAGTACACAGGAAGAGACTCCAGGGCAACTGACTCCAAACCATCCTGGCATACCTGTGCTTAAATAGTTCCAAGTAAATTATGTGATCATTAAATACTGCTGCAGAGTTCAAACTATTACTTCAGAAACTGAAGTGCCATATGATTTTCATCCTTTAAAGGTAAATGAAAATCTTCTACTGTTCTAAAGATGATAGGAATCATTATTACATCATATATAAATGTTTATGAAGAACATCTCTCTTGGAGACAAAATACATCACATCTATGTCATGCATAACACTGCATTAGAATTCTGAATAGAATCGCCATTGTGAGATGGGACTACCCCTTGCCATGTCACACTTCTCTTATGAAGGGGACACAAATGATGTTCATACAATTTGATTGCAATGTACCTAAATCGCAGAGGAGTAATTTTGAATCATACAGGAACTGCTTACGACTGCCTGACATCATGTGGCCCTTTGGTCACCAGCATTCACTGGACATGCCTGGATCTATGCCATCATGTTCATGTGTCATTCGTACTCATGGAAGTATGTGTGTCTCTCACTAAACTGTGAGTCCCTTAAGGGCAGGAACAGTGTGTTTACTATCCATCTTTTTATAAGCATCTAGTACACTGACTGGCACATAACAGCAAATAAATGGATAAAGAGATGAATGAAGATCTTATGGAACCCTGTATTTTCACATAGATTTATTATAGTGAAAGGGTACTACAATCTCAATGAAGGCAGGGAAATATGTTATACTTAAAAAAAAATCTTCCTATGCCTTGCACAGTGTTAGTGATGCAACAAAACTAATTAAATGATAAAGGAGTGAGGAGAAGCATAAATTTATCCACTTACTTGCAAGCAAGCCAACTCCACTTGCAAGGGATCCGACCCAGGCTGTTTTTCCTTTCCCTTCACCAAAGGTGTCCAGCCATTCTATGTACAAGACTCCAACAGCCAACGGAGATCCGTAACACAAAAACTGAGTGAAAAAGGAGACAAGCACAATCACCCAGCCCCATCCACCATCAGGTGACTTTTTAAATTCCATCGTAAGGTAAGATCAAAGAGGTGTTCCTCTGTAGGTCCTAAGCAAAAACAGAAAGGAAAGAAAAGCATATTTAGAGTATAGTAGGGCACAGTATTTTGGATTAAAAATATCTCCTAAATTAAGTCATAAAAAGCTTCTCTAAAAATACACATGGAAAAGCATAAAATATCACTGACATATCAACTTTAAAATTTTCACTGATGATTTGAGTAAAGAATACATCCACATGGTTCAAAAAAATTTTTTTAATTATAAAAAGGCACAGAGTGAAAACTTTGTCCCCATTCACCAGGTTTGGTCTTTTGTCACATGTTGGCTTCTCCAGGAAGAAGACTCTTAGTAAGAAGAAGGTTTTTGGGAACTGTTTTATTCCTATGGAAGGTAACAGGCAGGAGAGGAAAAAGGTAAGCTGCCATGCAGTGTCAAGGAAGGGAACTTCTAAAGAGTTGCTCTGACTTAGGCACGGAGAGTTGGCCCATCACACCCCCATGTTGATCATTCACCAGATTCAGGCCGTCCAGGGAGTGGGCATGACCATAGGTCTCCCTTCAAATGAGGCAGTCATTCCAGTAGGGCTGTCAGCTGAAGGCACCCTGCCAACAGTACTGTGAGCAGCTAGGGCAAGGAATCTTTCAGTCCCAAAGAGAGTCTGGAGGGGAATTGGCAGCACATCACAACATCCACCAACTCGAGTCTCCTCCCAGAATTTCTTCATGAATATACAAGGAATTTTCCTCTTTTTTGACAAAAAACAGCACATTGTACATTCTATTCCAAACCTTGTCTCATGCCCTTAACATCCCCAAGATTTTTCCCTATCAGTACATAGACAGCATCCTTAGTCATTTTTTTCTTAACAAGCACGAAGTATCTCACTATATGACTGCACACTTATTTATTTACCAAATAGGCAAAACATTACAAGAGCCTTTTAGTCTCTTTAGATGTTTGGCTATTGCTATCACATGTTATCTAGTTTATTATCTAGATTATTATCTAGTTCAAGAATGAAAAAGAGGGACCAAAAGTATGTAGCCCACATCTAACTATTTCCCACCTAACTCCCATATCCTCCACAAGAAACCAATGCTTCTTGTTTCTTTTATATCCTTCTAGAGTTTGTTTATGCAAACATTGCTAACTCAAATATAGATTTCCTCTATTTTTTACACAAAAATAGCATGATATATACATATGTATCTGTATATATCTTGCTTTTTTTCACTTGACAAACATCCTGAAGATCTTTCCCATCGATACATAGCGACCTTCCTTATTCTCTTCTTTGTGCTGCCTTGTGTTTCAGTACAGAGCTTTCTCTTAATTCAACCAGTTCCTTGTGATTTACAATGAAAACAACTCTGCAGTGAATAACCTTACATATACATACATCTTTTTGCATATATGCACATGTTAGGTAAAACCCAAAAGAGGAATCGCTGAGTCAAAAGGTATGTACATTGTAATTGTAACTAGAATTACAAAATTGGCTTCAAGGGAGTAAACCAATTTATGTCATCCCCAGCAATTTGTGGTGTGTCATAAAACTTTTGGATTTTTGCCAATTTGGTAACTGTAAAACAGTATTTCTTTATAGATTGAACTTGCATTTTTCAGCATTCCCTGAATATAGTATGTCATTTCATAGATGAAAAGCCATTTGTAATTCCTATCTAATTTTTGGGTATGTATATATGGGTATATTTCTGGATTTTCCATTCTGCTCCATCAATCTGCCTATTCACTCACCATTACCACATTAGTTTAAAGTTTAAGGTAAATTTGTAAATTGATTTAAGGCAAACTGATCCTTTTATGATGTTGAGTCTTTCTATCAAAGAACATGGTATGCCTTTGCGTTTGTTCAAGTCTCCTATTGTGTTCTTAATGTTTAAAGTTTTCCCTAACATTTTTTTATTTTAAATATTCTATTCTTTTTGCTAATATTATAATTGGGGTTATTTCTTTGTCTTTTGTTTGTGTGTATAAAAGTTATTGATGTCTATATGTTAATTTTGTGTCTCACTACCTTACCAAATTCTCTTGTTTGCAGTAGATTTTTGGACAATTCCCTTGGGTATATACAATATATAATACAATAAAGTTACACAATCAACTACAAACAGTGATAGTTTTACATTTTTATTTTGAATTTTTATACTTCAGATTTCCTTCTTTTGCCTTTGCTTCGAACAGGGTATACAGGATGATGTTAAATAATAAGGGTATGTGTCTCTGTCTGGTTCCTAACTTAGTGGGAACACTTTCAAATGCCAAGGTGCTACCTCGGGGGCTTAAATCAATTTATTTCACAAATTAAGAAAACAGTTATATTTCTCTATCTTTGAGTGTTATTATAAAGGATGCTTACTATGTTTTATCAAATGCATTTCTGGTGCACAGGGAGATATTTATGATCTCCTCCATAAAACTTTTAATGTAATAAAATCTGTATTTTCTTTTTTTTTAGAATTATTTATTTATTTGTCAGAAAGAGAGAGATAGAGAGAGCACAAGCAGTGGGGAGCAGCAAGCAGAGAGAGAAGCAGGCTCCCCGTTGAGCAGGGAGCCTGATGTGGGGCTCGATCCCAGGAGTCCGGGATCATGACCTGAGCCGAACGAAGGCATACGCTTAACTGACTGAGCCACTCAGGCGCCCTCAAAATGATATTTTAAAAGAATTTGAAAATATTACTTCTTTCAAAGTTCTAAAACAGTTTACATGGCATGGATTAGGAGGCCCAAGCCTCGACCTCCCTGCCCCCACAGGGCTTCCCACTTAATCTACACTTCCTATGTCTCTGCACCATGTCAGGTTTACAGTTTCAACAGAGTCTTCTTTGACCACAGATTTTTCTAAGCCATTCCCTTGGCTGTGGTTTCATCAGATAATAGCTAAAGACAGTGGAAAATATCATTCATCCATTCATGCATGTCCCTAATTAGATGGTGGAGCATTTGGCTACCTTAAGAGAGTCATAGTTACTCCCGCCGTTTACCCGCGCTTCATTGAATTTCTTCACTTTGACATTCAGAACACTAGGCAAAAATCACATCACCACCCACCACAGGCCTTTGTATAAATTAACTTTCAGTATTTCATAACTGAAAACTGGAAGATGTTACAATTTGCGCACAAGACTGTAGAGTCCAAAAGCCAGCCTCTCAGACCAAATGATTGTGTTAGCAGACAGAATACTGCAAACTTCCAAATATCTAAATCCTTTGAAATAATCAGATATGTCCCTTCATCAGAAATTAACTCTTTCTAGTAAAAACAAACAACATAATTCTGGTCCTTCTAATGACAATTTGGTACTTTGCAATTTTTCTTGGTCAAAATCCCTTTTAAAGAAAATATACTCTTGATTCCCTAAACTAGATACTATATAATAACAATAGCCAAAACTCTAAAGAGACTAAAGGGCTGTATAAGAACAAATGCATATGAGACTGTCCTTCATTTAAATCTTAAAGTTACAGCACTTCAGGAAAAGTACACAATTACATAGGCAAAGCACCAGAATCATGAAGAAAGCTAGTATTTTCTGGAGGGTGGGAAGAGTGAACGGGTGAGGAGTATCTCCCTTGCCCCAGTGTACAGACTTAAGTAGACAGAAATGCCTTTATACACAAAATACCTTGGCCTTGCTTTACTTTGCCTTGCCTTGGGTGACATTTCAACACAAAGGACAAGAGCCAGAGAATTCTTCTCACCGTAAATATTTGGGAGAACAACCTTTGAAATAAAAAGCTCCCGTGTATATCAACTCTGACTAGAAAGACAAGTTTTTATAAAGAGTTGGCCAACAGCTTCTGACCTTTAATTGTCTCATGGTTTGATATACATGTGATCTCTATAGAACATGCTGAAAAATACCATTTCATGATTTCTTGTTTTCTGTCAGGGTAACAAATACATTTCTCCTATAGTTTCCTCTATTCCTTAGGTGTTTCTCACCTAAGGAATTATATATTCTGCAAGGTGATTTCACGAATAGACTAATCTTTATTTTCCCCCCTTTTGTAATGGCTCCCAATTTCCTTTGGGGGACTTAGGTCTTCTCTATGGGTAGACAGCTGGTAGGACTGTTGATCAAGATTCCTTGATCTTGATCTATAGAATGACACCTGACCCCAGCAAGGGCAGCAGACCCTCTCTCCCAGGTTTCTGAATCTTAGGTGAAATGCCATAAGGAAAAAAAATGGACATTTGAAGTTTATTGATTGCAAAGGTAGCACATTGAAGAGACCCTCTGTCAGTTCCTACTACTTTGACTACCTAGGGGATACCCAAGATTGGCTTCTCCAGCTTTTCATTTCACTCTATGAGCAAACCCAATAAATTAATTTTGTTAAGTTAGCTGGTGTTTGTTTCTTTTACTTAGAACAGAATAAACAAATTTGAGTATGCAGTGATTTCAAGTTGAATTATATTAACTTTCTATACCCCACTTGTTTCCATTTGGGCCAAAGGGTAAGCTTAGGAATATAGTCTATGGCTGCATAATATAGGAAATATAGATATGCCATAACTTTTTTCTGAAATTTCTTTATTATCCTTCCTATTCATATCTTATGATTCAATGTGATAAAAATCTCTCCTCTGGAATTTTTTTTAAATAAAAACTTCAAATTAACTGAAATTTCCACTAAGCACACTTACACTAACGTCTACAGAAATACAGCATTATAAAAGTGATCTTTATTCAACAGGTTTTTTGATCACTTGCAAATTAAATTATATTGCACTAGATACCAAAGTAAATCAGAAGAAATATGACATGGCCTTTGCCCTCTAGGAGCTTACACCCCAGTTAGGAAGGTAAGATAGCATGTGATCTTTGAGCGCCAAAGAGGTGGCCAGCTATTAAACGTTTGGGAGTCAGAAGGAAATGAAAGTGGGAGTGGAAGGCCTTATGAAGTAGGTTGGTCCTAAAGAACAATGGAAAGATTCAGGAAAGCGTGGCGCTGGCAAGAAAACAACATGAACTTGGGTGTGGAATCAGGATAGGCCTGCTACATATGGTGGAAAGT